TTCTTTGCAGGTGGGGCTGCATCATGGAAGTCAAGGTTGCAGAAGTGTGTTACGCTTGCTACAACAGAAGATGAATTTACTGCGGCGACCAAAGCTAGTAAAGAGTTGCTATGACTAAAGAAGTTCTTGGAAGAACTTGGGTTAAAGCAAAAGAGGTATGAGTTATTTTGTGATAACCAAAGTGCGATTCATCTTGGTAAGAATTCATCTTTTCATTCTAGATTGAAACACATTGATGTTAGATATCATTGGATAAGGGATGTTCTAGATGAGAAGTTGTTGGAACTTGAGAAAATCCATACGGACCATAATGGTTCCGATATGATGACAAAGACTCTATTAAGGGAGAAGCTTCAACATTGCAGATTTATAGCAGGGATGGTGAATCCCTCCATATCTTCGTGAGGGGAGATTTGTTGGCTAGGTTCACTCCCATGTAGAGGAAACCCAATGAATTGTAAGCACAAGGCTTGAGCCCATATGTCTATTAATATGGAGAAATAGAATTTCCCATAATTATTATATCGTGGCCGCAAAAAGAACGTTTTTGAGAGACACAGTAACAAGAGAGAAAGAGAAAACAGAAAATCTGGGTTTGAAGATATATCTAATGTTGATGTTGGAGGTTGATTCGTGGTCCAATTGAGCTGAAATATTGTCAGTGTGTTTGTATTGCATTCTTCTCGAATCTAATCGGTTTGATTTTCAATTGAAGCTCCCTACATCAGGTTTTCGTGGGTTGCACCAAAAGTGCATTTTTTGTGAGATTTATCATTTTATCTCTTGTGAAGTCCATGTCTATTGCCAAGAATGATGTTCTTGATGTCTTTGCTGCTATATAGCTCTAGTATTTACTGGAGAAGAACTTTGTTCACCCAGTTTTGCTGATAGTGAAGATTTTTTTATGGACTCTAGTCCCGTGATTTTTTTATCTCCTCACACCGAAGAGGTTTTCCATGTAAAAAAATCGCCTTATGTTTGCGTGCTTGATATTTATATTCCTCGATTCAGTTTTTTCCTATTAGATTTATATAAGAGGAGAGATTATTTTATTTCGATGTGCTAATTCGATATTGTTCGAATTGTTATTATTTTCCCAACATACAGGCAAGAAGATATGAGCTGTGGCGGGACCCACCTGACTTTGTACGGTTGTGATTGCTTAAATCGGGAGGAGATGCATCCAAAAGGATTCACGTCCAAGAGTCAGAGATTGGATCGAGTGGTCGGGACCAGCTTGTGATCTAGCCTTTGAGTGCCGTGGCTCGTGAAAGTTGACGATTTGCCACCCAAAGTCTTCGAGATCAGTAACGTCTCGACCTCGCTACGAAGCACTAGTCATAATCTGGGGAAAAATTCAAAGATGTGGCACATCGAGTCATTTATATCTTGTGTGTTCTCTCTATAGCACCCCAACTACTCACGGTTGACTAATTGCCAAAGCCTCTTTTCCTGCTAAAAGAAGATGGAGATAGCTTGTAAAAGGGTCGAAAAGAATATGAACAAAAAAATTAAATAGAGTTACAAATCAAGACTCCGTTTATCTCACAAAAATAAATGATTTCGAACAATTTTCCTAAAATCGATGGCTTGTATCGTCTGCAATAATGAATGAACGATAAATATTTTCATCGTCCAAGAAAATGTTTAGATATAAATTATTTTTTATAGTGAAAATATTTTCCATTCATTAATTATTTTAAATCATACAAGCGATCGATTTTGAATCATTCATTTGCCGCAAAATAAACGGACTAAACATGCAACATCCTAGACATTGAACTTGAATCAGCATCACCAGAAATCGTAGGTATAAAGGGTTACCACTTTTCATTTACAAGGCGAAAGCAACACGACTCTCCCTCTCTCTCATCGCCTTGATGAATTATGTACTACTAGTTTATTGAAATAATATATTCAGGGACCGTTCGTCGGTGTATTTTTGTGCGTACTGTATCCAACATTAAATGCCTACGTCCTTCCTTACGTCGCCCGTTGTCCTAGTGGGATCGGGATGGGCTTTGTTGCACCCCACATGTTCGATCCTTACTCTCCCCAGGCCGCAAGAACTGGTTGCAGGTGTTCGTCTTATTTTTGCATGCATTGCACGATTCTCTCACTCACAGGACATGAAATTACCGACATCAAAGTTTGAATAATTGAATAGATATTCTCGAGAGAGCTGGACCTATACTGAATCTACGAGAAAAAAGAATATGAATTCCCATTCGTTTTCAAAAATGAGTGATTGATTTTGTCGATCACTTTATAAGTAGATCTATCAAAAATGGGTCATACATCTATTTATTAACTCATATTTGATGGGTTTGGTTGTTAAATGTGTTAGTTATATTTAGTAAATGTGTTATAAATAGGTAAACTCAACCCTATGGGTATATGGGTGTTCAATGAGTTCACAACTTACTTAAACCCAACTTACCTCTATAACTCTCTTTTCACACTTTCTTGCACTCACTCACTCCGTGCTTTCACCTTAATTTGAGTATGTTTTTTCCTAAATTGGGTTAAATATAAAAGTGTTTTTAGTAATATGAGTCGGGTATGCATCGTTATGAGTCACGAGATTTGTATTGCGTGAAAATGGATCAAAACGGATTAAGTAGGTCAATTTGAGTAGGATATTTTTTATATGATCCACCCATTTGACAAGTCTAGTTATAAGGATGTGAAAGTGAATCTATGTCTTTACATCTTGTTCATGCATAATGACAGTGCTCTCCCGTGGTTTCATCACCGTCCCTCTGTTTCGATTGATATATGTGCTTAAAAAGGTATAGTTGGTGTCTCACCAGTTGTGGATTAGAAAGAGTTAAGTTACTTTCTCCTTTTCCCAAAATTCTGAAATTAAAAAATGATTAAGTCTCAATGAAAAGTTCCACATTAACATAATATTCTCAATATTTGTATGTCTGTAATGTTTTGGGTATTTGGTAGTGCACAAAAGTCTGATTTCAGAGGTTACAAAAAAAAGTAGAAGTAGAAGAAAAAAACATCTTTTTCAATTGACGGTACCCCAAACACATGCGAGCAGACACATATTTAAAAGTTGACATGTATAGTACGTAGACCTCGATAGTTTATGCCTCATTTTTCTTCGAATTACGTGACCTAGCAAAGTTCGGAGGCAACATTACAAATTCAACTTCTTTGGGTATGCTATATCAACGACCATATGAAAAGAAAACTTCGAACAGTCTAAGATCGAGAGAGAACGGTACGCCAAAGCTTATTATATCAAGAATCCCAATAATCTTTTTTTGTAGATTTTTGCACTCGAGTTCACAGAGTGAGCTATACGTGTTTTAACTTCTGATGTAACATATCAAGAACCAAGATCGAAAAATATGGTTGCTTTCTGATCTTCGTTCAAAGCTAATTTTAGACATTACGATGCTTTGAAGGACTTTAAATATTACTATCCCCATTTTTTTTCCTAAGAAAAGCGAAATGGTCATATGGTTATATCACATACCAGTTGATTTTGAATGTACAAAGACTCGTATCTTGTCTAAGTGCACCTCCAGTTTGAATATAGCCAAATTTTATAACTTCCACTAGGTGTTACTATTATCTTAATTATGGATTTATTTTTAGTATGCAAACAGCGGAATCCATTTATTTCACAAGTCACATAGATAACAATTGACATGGAAAGTTATAGTAAATTTACCAACTATTCAAAACAACGATACTAGACGTTAATTTTACATTATATGTAAATGTAATATCAAAACATCAATATTGTTAGAAGAGCCATAACTTTTGACTCAAAAAGAGTTACGAGCGTGTTAAGATCAATCCACGCAACTCGTCCACAGTGCCATAAGCGAGAGAACCCATTTGAGCTTGTTTTTTCGTCTTCAAAATCCATTTTTTTCCTGAGTTTCGGACCAGTTTTCTATTTTCAAGTCCATTTTCTTCACTGTTTACGATTGTTCTTTTTTTTTCACTTGAAATTTTCGGGTTTCTTTCTTTTCTTTCTGCTTCTGGTTCGTTCAGAAATTTCTTGGGCTTTTGATATATCTATTCGTCATGCTTAAGGAGGTAATACAGTTTTTGATTAAGTAATAATATATATTTAGAGACTTTATTTTTCTTGGTCAAAACATTTAGAGCGTGTTGTGTGCCAATTATTCTAGTCAGGATATGACTTCCGCTATGCGATTAACTTTAAGAAAACTAGCTATGACGAGAACTTCATATATTGATTGGAGGCTAGATCTCTAGAGCTGTTCATAAAGGTGGATTCACCATTTATTCAACGATACACAAGAGCTTTAAGCTTTTAGGAGTTGCAGGATACATTACATTCCAAACATAAAGTAGCGCAACATAGGGGGACGATCAACGAGAATCCATGCATCATCTAATTCTTGACATCTTCAGTTTCTTCTGGAGGGTGACCACCGTGACCGGGCTTTCCATGACCACCTTGGCCACCACCACCGCGGCCGCCTTGACCGCCACCACCACCACGGCCGTAGCTGCCACCACCACCACGGCCGCCTTGGCCACCACCACCACCACCACCACCACCGGGGCCGTAGCCGCCACCGCCACCATGGCCGCCTTGGCCACCACCACCGCGGCCATAGCTGCCACCACCTCCGTGGCCGTAGCCAGGTCCATATCCGTGACCGTAGTTAGCCTCCTCCCCGCTCTTCTCTACAATGAATTGGAAAACCATTAACATGCTAATACATCTGTTTTCATTGGACGAAATAAGAAAAAAAGGATAGGTATTTCTTGCGTAGCTCCTAAAAAAAAAATGGTCCTTCACGCGTTGTTCTGCACATGCATATTGGAATTTGGAAGTTTTGTGCATATTTGACTACTTAGGAAGTTGTTTCCAATCCTAAGAAATGTAGTTTTTAAATCGACCTAGATTAGTTAGCAGAAATCTAAACTTTACACAATTTAATTCGAACGAAATAAAGTTCAAATAATGTAATTACATAGCTTAATCAGGAGCCACTCACGAGACTGAGTGTCCTGGGCGAGCTCACGTGCCGAGACGTCAGAGGAGACGAGGAGAACAATGGCGAAGAGTAGGCCAAAGAGCACAATAGTCCTCGAGGACGCCATTTCGATTCGAGGTAAGTGAATTTGCAAGTGATGATTGTGTAGTGACCTCGCTTCCATATTTACAGGAGGAGAAGAAGCAAGAGGGTGAATTGTGGTGGGACCAGATGGTTTTTGGACGTTGATGGTGGATCGACGAGTGTCCAAGTGTTCATGACTTAAGAGTCAATTTATGGCATGTAGTTTGCCCACCTAAAAGGGAAGGAGGATTAAGATTGCTCGATCTGAAATTATGGAACAAAGTATTATTAGGCCGCATGCTGTGGGACCTCATCAACCGTCCATCCTCTTCCCTTTGGAGTATATGGGTTCACAGCACCAAATGCAGAGGCACTCCAATTATGCATATCAACATTACGGCCAGTATGGCTTGAAGTTGGCGATGTCTCCTTAAATTACGACATGTTTTAATCTCGGTTATTCATAACTCAAGGTACTGTTGTCGAGAAATTTATGATGAACTCAGACATGCAGGACCGGTTGTGGAGTGGTATGACCTAATCTGGACCAGCGGTATTAGCAAATACAATTTTATTGGCTAGATCATTTGCAAAAACAGACTACCGACGGCAGAAATCGTCGTCTAATGAATGACCTCAATTGATATCCAGTGTAACTTCTATAAGGCTGGTATAGAAGACACAACACATTTATTCTTCCAGTATGAGTGGATAGGCAGCTTATGACACAGTATCCTTGCACAACAAGGGATTAAGCATCATTTGGGAGGATGGGATGAAGAACTTCAATGAATGATTAGGGCAACAAAAGGCAAGGATTTGGCAGCTAGACTCCTTAAGGTATCTTTTCTAGCAACCATTTATGGCATATGGATGAAGCGCAATCGAAAATGGTTTCAAAACAAGTCAACTAGTATCTATATTATTTTGGCCAACGTGCATAAAAATGTAAGAGGTATAGCTTCACTCTATCAAAACATTAGACCTTCTCAGACAAATGTTGTATTGGCTACTATGTGGAAACTTCCCACCTCCATCTTCTCAAGCTATTAGCACCATTTGTAATGCTAGGACATATCCCTAAGCTGCTGTACTTCATTTGCTCTATAATACTGACATTTTACACCCCAAAAAAATGTATAGAGAGGTGGGACCCGCGATCACAAATTACCATATATATCATTAGTATTAAGAAAATGTTACATGTACAGCCTCATGCACCATTGATTGATTTAAGAGAGTGGGTTGTAAAAAAACAAATGTTCTATTTTTCCTTTATTTGTTTATGTCTTCGGCCAGAGTCCTTCGAGATTGATCTCTATAAATTTTCATATCACGTGGCCATTCGACTAACTTATTTGGGTACTACGTTCTGTGAACTTCTTTAATCTAACAGAATAAATGCTATGATAAGATAATGTTAAATTACTAGTTATTGACTGATAAAGTCGATGGTAACGAGATAGTCCAAAATCCCCAAATTATTTTTCCCTTTTGGTTGACAACATCTATACAGTCATTAGATGATAGTCGGAACGGAAAACCGAAGGATGTGGCAAATCGGTTCGTGATTTGCAGTTGACCATCAAGTGATGCAGCTCTGCAGAATCTCTCTTTTGCCTTAGTTGAATGATAATCTGATTATAAAGTCATAGAACTCTCTAATATCTACCTATAGGGATTATGAAATTGGAAATATTTATAAACAAATACTTGAGGAGAATAAATAAATATACAAGTAATCGAGATGATGAAGGCAAGGCTTTGAGCTTGAGCTACAAATTTGGCACCTAATGTTTAGACCATCAACGTCCAAGCCTGTACTGTACTTGAGAATGATGATCGTTCAGCCACAACGGTATTCGTTTGACTGTCCGATCAAGAGCAATATAGGTCGCAGTGTGCGCAAGAAACATGCACACACCGGGTCAAGTCGATGTTGCTCGCGGCTAAATTTCAATCAAGAAGTCCGCTCTGTTTGCAATGACATTGGATCTCTCCTTCGGCCTAGATGCGTACTCGGCGATGGAATTATTAGCAAGAAAGGAGTTCGATTCACACAAACACTGCCACGGAGCTCAAGCATTTTGGCGGTCTTTCGGTGTGCAATTCACGGGAAAGCAACTATCCTTCCAAACAATAATTGGTCGAATTATTGAGGTCCCTCTTCGGGTTGTATCTTTGTGCGTGCTGTGCCCTTCATTAATGGCAATACCAAAGCAACCCTCTAACATAAAAGAACGCCAAAGTCGCACATGTCCCTCCTCACGTCACATTCACCGCAAGAGTTCTACCCAATATTTTCTGCGTCGGTGCCCCCAGACGACTGACTTTCCACGCCATCTCGTCCTGACAGGGGCAATTGTAACCTGCAGGATCGTGTCTTCGTGTCTCTCTTATCAGTTGTGTCGTTTTTGTTGGCATGGGTTACGTCCTGTCTCGCGTCACTTCCATGTCCTCGTCCACTTGTCTGTCTCCTAAACGGACGTCGCCCAACCAGCCATGCAAGCAAGGGTTCTCGAGCACGTGACAACGCTGTCCACTTCGTGAACATAACGCACGCATGGGAGAGCTCATGGGGGGATCTGAAGAGTGCAGAAGAGTCCCAGTTGATCCGAAACTCTGGATGCATTGAACTCTCCCGAATTCAATGCATGGAAGGGATATTTAGAAAACCTATATATATGAGTTCTTCTATTAGTTAAACTCTAATATGTGGGTAGTATTCATCCTTTGTAATTCACCATAACATACATTATAGGGAAAGCCAATTTCCTCTCTAAACTTTCTTGGTAGTCACGATTATTCACTTATATGATCGATGAGGAATAAGAACCTTTACAGCACTGGTTTTGTTTTTAGATATACATACCGCCTTTAGACATGTTGTTCACAAAGCATGCATGAGATCATATTTTTGTTGATCTATCAAGTCTAAAGTTCCAGAATAATGTCATGGCAATCGTGAAGTAATTGGGCTATAAAGCTGATAATTGCGGCAATAATTGGATACTCTTTTTCGTAGGGTCATACTAATAATATAAAATTGCGAAGTAAAGTTTCTGCAATATCCCCAAAACAATAAAATAAAAGCTCGAGAAAAACCACGTGGACAAATGGGATGAATCGCATTATTGCAAGATCTAAGAATCCAATTTAAAAAAGGACAAAAGCCATAAAAAAAATCCTAAATTATGTACATTGTGACACATTTACTCTCAACTATTTTCTGTGACACCAAAAATCCCAAATTTGTACTTATATATTACATTTATCCCCCGTCAAAATTCTGTCAATGAGAACCATTAAAAATCTACTTACACGAATGCCAGAAATCAAACAGTGTTAACATGACGTCCATGTGGCTTAAGTAAAAAAAAACGACGTTATCTAACGAAACCTTAATTGAGGGTAAATGTGTCACATAGCATAGATACAAGTTTGGGATTTTTTATGTCACAAGAAAAAATTTAGAGTAAATGTGTCAGAGTGGGCATAGTTTGTGATTTTTTATGTTATAAAAAAAGTTCAAGGTAAATGTATCACAGTGGACATAATGTGGATTTTTTGTGGCCTTTTCCCTTTAAAAAAGAGCAGGAACAAATTAGGAGAATAGGGAAAAGGACGAGATATTGCAAACAATTATTTCGATCCATTAATGAAGGTTTTTTTGGTAAATTTACTCATTTTATTCTGATCACTAAAATCATTCACCTTAATTTAATTAGTCGGTCCATTGCATAGGCCATACCTCTACTTATTCATGAAAAGGCTATAATAAAATATGCCTTTTCTCTTTCGGCCATTAACAGTTCGAAGGCTCGCGACGTGAGCCCAAGTGAAGCGCTTCTTGTTCACCTCTCGTGGGCTTCGGTTATGAACCCGACTCTGGCCTAGACTAGTCTGAACCGACTCGTCCACAAAATCGAGCGAGGCAAATCCACCATCACCGGCCACGGCTCACAAGTCACGACCACCGATTTTTAGCTTGCTACGGGAGCTTCGAATCCGATCGATTGTCTCTCCATCCTCTCGCTCATGAGCGGGAGCAACTAGAAAATCCCTAATGCGCAATTTAGTTTTTGTTTCGGTGTTATGGTTGTTGGTCGTGATTTCTGTTGTCTCGAAAATGCATGTTGATATGTGTTTTCGGGTCTTGGCATGATCTATATCAACGATTTTTTGCGGTAATCGACTGGAAAAATTACAATGCAATCTCACGTAAAACTTTATGAATAGATTGACAAAATAAGTTTAGAATTAATTTGACAATTTTTTCAATATTCATAGGCCCGTAGACAATTGAATAAACAAGTGACCTCAATTGTTTTCTCTTTCGGCCATTTACAATTCGAAGGCTCACGCAAGCCCAAGTAAAGAACTCCTAGTTCATAGTATTCCCCGACATTTGTATGTTTGAAATGTTTTAGGTATTTGATATTACAAAGAATTCAGATTTCAAACGTTACAAGAAGAAGTAAAAGTAAAAAAGCAAGCATCTTTTCCAATTGACGGGAACCCACAAACGCGCGAGCGCGCACACACATGTTTCCCAAGTTGACATACATAGGATGTGGTACCTTGATAGTTTATGCCTTCATCATTCTCCATTCTCCATCTTTTATTATCTGACAAAGTTCAGAGCAACATTACACATTCATCTCTTTTGGTTATGTTGTATCAATGACCAAATGAAACGAAAACTTGGACAATTTTAAGATTAAGGGGAAAATTATCCGAAAAGCCCTAAACTTGTTATATGAAAGCCAATTCAGTCATAAACATTTCAATTATGCCAATTTAGTTCTAAACATTTTGATGATTTGCCAATTTAGTCCGAAATCATTAGACGATTTGCCAATGAAGTCCTTTCGGCCAAATATCTAAATAATAGGTTTAGGATTAAATTAGCAAATTTTTAAGGGAAAAAACCACCAAAAACCCCAAACTTTGCCATCTGTGACACATTTACCCCGAACTTTTTTTTGTGACACCAAAAACCCCGAACTTTGCTTTTTGTGACACATTTACCCCCAATGTATTTAGTCCATGGGCATTTTCGTCTTTTCTGCTTTTTCTTTTTTTTTCTTTTTTTTTTCCTTTCCGGCGAGGGGGGGCCTCGCCGGCGTCGGCCTCGCCGGATCCGGCGAGAGGGGCCCACGCGGATCCGGGCGAGGGCGGCCCTCGCCGGCGTCGGGCGAGGTTCGCCTCGCCGGGCGAGCGAGGCGGCCCTCGCCCAGGCTCGGGCGAGGTCGACCCTCGCCCGACGCCGGCGAGGGTCGACCTCGCTGAGAGTCGGGCGAGGGCGGCCCTCGCTCGCCCGTGCGAGGGCGACCCTCACCGGCGGCCGAGCGAGGTTCGCCCTCGCCGGGCGAGCGAGGCCGCCTCGCCCGGCTCGAGCGAGGTCGACCTCGCGCCGGCGAGGCGAGGTCGACCTCGCCTGAGCCTGGGCGAGGGCCTCCCGCGCGGATCTGCGGCGAGGGCCGCCCTCGCTCGACGCCGGCGAGGGTCGACCTCGCCAGATCGGGCGAGGGCCGCCCTCGCTCGCCCGAGCGAGGCGGACCTCGCCCGACGCCGGCGAGGGTCGCCCTCGCTGGGCGAGCGAGACCGCCCTCGCCAGGACTCGAGCGAGGTCGACCCTCGCCGACGCCGGCGAGGGTCGACCTCGCAAGATCGGGCGAGGGCGGCCCTCGCTCGCCCGAGCGAGGGCGACCCTCGCCGCGTCGGCGAGGTCCGCCTCGCCCGGGCGAGCGAGGGCGGCCCTCGCCCAGACTCGGCGAGGTCGACCCTCGCCCGACGCCGGCGAAGGTCGACCTCGCCTGAGTCGGGCGAGGGCCACCCTCGCTCGACGCCGGTGAGGGCCCCCCTCGCCGGATCCGGCGAGGCCGACGCCGACGAGGCCCCCCCTCGCCGGAAAGGAAAAAAAAAGAAAAAAAAAAAAGAAAAAGCAGAAAAGACGAAAATGCCCATGGACTAAATACATTGGGGTAAATGTGTCACAAAAAGCAAAGTTCGGGGTTTTTGGTGTCACAAAAAAAAGTTCGGGGTAAATGTGTCACAGATAGTAAAGTTTGGGGTTTTTGGTGGTTTTTTCCCAATTTTTAAAAGGTTTAGGAGTAAATTGACACAAATATAGTTTTATGACTGAATTGGCTATCGTACAATAGGTTTAGGACTTTTTGGACAATTATCCCTAAGTTTATATGGGTGTTAAATGAGTTCGTAGCTTACTTAGACTCGACCAACCTCTATGACTCTCTCTCGCCCTCACTCGATCGAGAGCTCTCTCACTACGTGCTTTGACCTTAGTGTGGATATGAATTTTCCTAAATTTGATCAAATATAGAAGCGTTTTATTAATATGTGTCAAGTGAGGTATGAGTTGGATATAGGTCACTAAATTTGTATCACATAAAAATTGGTCAATTTGAGCCGATCCATTTCGACCCGACCCGACTAGACTATTCATGGGCCTGTAGGGAATTGAACAGACAAGCGGCACAACTCCGCTTCTCTTTACGGCCTCTTCACACTTCGACAGCCCGCGACGTGAGCCCAAGTAAAGTCCTCCTCGTGCCACCGCTCGTGGGCTTCGGTTATGAACCCGAATCGGGCCCAATTCGGGTCGACCCGACTCGTCCGGGTTAAATCGAGCGGAGGCAAGGTCCGCCCATCGCCAGTCCCGACTCACAAGCAGCCACGGCGACCACCACCGATTTCAGATTTTTGCTGCGGGATCTTCAAGCGCGATCGATTCTCTCTCTTCTTCCATCCTCCTCGCGAGCGGGATCGACCGGAAGATCCCCAAGGTGCGATTTCGCTTCCCTTTCGTTGTTGTTGTTGTAGTCGGTTGATCGTGGCTTTTTCCCTACCCGGAACGTGCCTGTCGATCCGTGATTTGGCCTCCTGGCGTGATCGGAAACCCTAATTTGTGGCTTCAGATTCCGATTCCGATCGCCGGACCGTGCGTTTCTCGGGCCGTAGGTACCGGAGATCGATGGGGTTCTTGGTGACGACCCTAATCTTCATCGTGATCGGGATCATCGCGTCTCTCTGCACCAGAATCTGCTGCAACCGAGGGCCTTCGACGAACTTGTACGCTCTCTCTGCTCTGGCGGTTTTTTTTTGTCCTTTTCTTCTTCCTGTACTGGTTCGATAGTAGTGTGGTTTCCAGATGGAACAGTCGATGCGTACCGAATTGCTAGTAGATCGATTGTTTTTGGGTTTTAAGGAATTATGACATTCTAAGTGCTTCTGTTGATTTCTCTCTGTGGGATGATATCACCTGTGAAGTGTGCTGGTCATTAGCCAAGTTTGCTTTTGCTTATGCTTGGTCGCTATCGAAGTAGATTCGCGATTTTCGTGCATTTTGGGGCTTCTGTCATATTGTTTTAGGAATGTTCATGGTTAATTATTTCTGAACGGCTCATTAGAACAGATGTTTGTCGCAAACTCGCTTCTGTGAATGTCGATGGCTATGTCCATTATGAGGAAAAGGCTGAGGAAGGTAAGTTAATAGAAATGAAAGCATAGTGGGAGACTTGATGGTAGAAGTAGGCTTGGCCTTATGATTTGCATCTGTAAAGAAGAAAACTGTCGTTGACTGGTTGCGGTGGCCTATATATAATAAGCAGTTGCCTTAGTTTATATGATGAAAAATTGTAGTCCGTTTGTAAACACGAACAGGTCTGAAGGTAGGATACATACGGGGAAAACTGAAATCAAGAAAAGAATTCTGTCAACGTGGTCAAATAATGAATCGGTTTTCAAAAACTTGATAAAAATCTCATCAAATTTTGTCGTGCTTGGTTTTGTTGCAAATGAAAGAGCTATGATATCTTAAAAGTTGAACCCCATTGTTCGGGGATTGTGTCTGTTTCCTGCTAGCCAGTAACCATGAATCTGTCTAAGTGGCTCTGAATGTGAATGATGCATAACGTACTTCATTCATTTGAACTTCAAAATGTCAAGTCCGACTTTTATGTCTGGATTGTGCATGAGTTTCTCTTTAAGGACTACTGTTTATAAAATATGTATATTCATTTGTACATTCTTTAATTTTGCATGTTCAATTATCATCTGCTGATACTTTGACGGTTTGATCGCTTGAACTGGCTGCATTTGTTGGGACAGCTTATCTATTTTCGGATATTTCTTGGTTTATGCCTTGTAATGCTTAATAACAAGGTGCACCGTTATCATAATAAGTGGAAGAAATTCCATCCCTTTTTTGTGGATGTCGGATGGATCTGGAATCTTTTTTTTCGGGGGGTAATATTGATCATATAACGAGTTGAGACTATCAGTACCATGCAATAATAATATTATCCTTGAACTATTTCTTCTTTAGATCAAGTAGATCATCTTCTTTTTTTGATTGATTTTATAGGGCGCTATCCTTTTGGTGCCTATTTATATAACCTCTTTTGTATTCCAAGGAAAAGAGTTCAATTTTACTTTTGAGTTGTTGATGTTAAATGTTTTTATAGAGTGGCTGCTCATTGTAAGACATATATCAGAACTCTGCAGCAACTCTCTCTTAGCAGAAATGAATAAGATCTAACCGTGGTGGTTCCTGTAGTATATATTGGTTGTTTTTCTCTTAGCATGCGCTAAAGAAAATGTGCACCTTCATGTGATATGTTTCTTGTTCATTTTTGCATAAACTTAAAGTACCGTATAGATTTTTTGTCGTGCTGAATGAACATGTTCTTGTGATGCAGGTTCTATCTAACATTGATCATTACAGCAACAGTATGTTGTTGGATGATGTGAGTACTCTTATCATAATTTAGCTCCTTAAGTTTTTGTGAGCATTTAGTTCCGTGTGACTGCTTTCTTGCTAGTCAGCTATTTCAGTATCTCATTTCTTGGAAGATATTTTGAATTCTGTAATGTCATATTCGTTTAAGGGACAATAACTGTTGCATCATTTAATAGATCCTTTTCTAAATCGGACTGTCTCATAAAAATGGACGTATTGAGATGTATTAATTGTTGGTCACATGAATTGAAGTTACAATGTTGTCCTTCTAAGTTTGTCAGGGTGACGACTACCAGAAAAAACAGATCGATAAGGTTTTCAATGAGAGTATGGATTACAAATCCATTGAATAAGAGTGGAATCTTATTGGCATGCTTACGATTGCATAAGAGATCGTGATTGAGAGAAGCCCTGTCTTTTTACTTAAAAGGAAGATAAGAGAATATAATTTTCTGGTTAAATGATCATATATGCTATTCGCCTTTGACTCTGCAGTATGTAGATTCTGTCACTGTCAATTGTACAATTAATCATATAGAAATCAATCTAGATTGGGATAATGACACAAATAGTCCTTGAATTTTGGCTTAATATGCAATTTGGTCCTTGAACTTTTAATTTGTTTAATGTAGTCCCTGAACTTTAGCCTAATGTTCAATGTGGTCTTGAATTTTCAATTTGTTCAATGTGGTCCCGGAACTTTTGGTACATGTTCAATTTAGTCCCTGAACTATATGAAAATGTACAATATAGTCCCTGAATTTGAATTAATGGAAGGACTACATTGAACATTTTTATAAAGTTCAGGAACTATATTGAACATGTACTAAAAGTTCAGCGATCACATTGAACAAATTGAAAATTCGGGGATCACATTGAACATTGGATTAAATTTCAGGAATTACATTGAATAAATTAAAAGTTCAGGGACCAAATTGCACATCGAGTCAAAGTTCAGAGACTGTTTGTGTTATTTTCCCCCTAGATAAAGGCATGTAGTGGAAAACGCTTTCATTGTGGTTATATCGAGTTCTGATCATACTTTTCGAAATTGCATCTTGACTGCGAATGCTCCAGGAGAACGGTTTTTGGACTTAGGAAATAATGTCTTCAATTTTCCACATTTTCTATCTTATTCTCAATTTGGTCATTTCGTTCTCTCTTCAGGTGGGCAATTGTATATCTCGCTCAAATGAAACCACTGATTGTCCCTATTCTGAATGATGGAGAATGAAGCTCTACAAGTATATATACCATTATTGGTGGACCCAGGATTTGATGAGAAGTATCCGGTTCCTGGTCGACAGGACCATTTGATTATTAATTATTTTTTTTTTGCAGTATTTGTGTGTGAGCGAGTCTTTTCCTTCTTTGTTAGTCCCCGTTGATGTATCAGCTTCTTAATTAATCTTGCCAGTCTATTTCTCTATCGTCTTAGAAACACGAGGAAAATTTGGTGGGAAAAACGTTATTTTGCTTTGAACAGGACCCCAAACGGGTTAGTCTTCCAGGCCCACGCAAAACCTATGGGCTGCCTGAAAGCCTGGGACATTATATGGGCCTTAGCAAGCCCAGACTAAACTATAGGTTCCATTTTAGGCTTCGTTGTCTCAATTCAGGCTTGAAATATCATGCTATGGGCTTCGAAGATGTGCCTCTGAGGCCCATTTCGTGTAATTACATTATAGGTGACATGGGCTCAATTAAGGCTTAAATAAAAATCACACGTGCTTATTGGGCTTTCATGGGGGTGGAATCAATCAAGGCCCTAATCTGACAGCCCGTGGGCCATGAATGTGGCTATAAGGCCCACTGCATATGGGCCCAATCAAATGTGACACGAACGATACTTTAAAATGGGCCGGTCCGCGGCAAATGGGTAGCCCATTTCAGCGCCCAAAAATGGGCCTTGAGTATGACAGATTGAAACGTGGGCCTTTAGATGGGCCATTTCACCCGCGAAAAGGCCCCACGTTGGCACAAAATGGCCCATTCGAGGCCTTAAAGTGGGCCGCCAAAGTGGGGCCTTATTAATGGGCATTGATGCAGTAAGCCCAAATGAACTAAAACGTGGGCCTTTCTAATGGGCCCGTCCACCGCATGAGGGCCCAACATTAGGCCACTTGGCCCATTTGGGGCCCTAAAGTGGGAGCGGCCCTTATGATGGGCAACAGTTCAGTATAACAAATCATATTCAAAGATGGGCCTTGCTGATGGGCCGATCCATCGAAAGGGCACACGTGGCCCATTTAAGGCCCAAAAGCTGGCATCGAAGTGGGCCTTTATGGAGCTTCAATAATGGACCGGTTTACGGAAAATGGGCCCAAAAATAGACCACGTGGCCCAATGTTGGGCCCCAAAGTGGGAGCGGCCGTCATGATGATCATCGGTACAGTAAGACCAATAATATTCAAACATGGGCCTTGTTAATGGGCCGGTCCATCAAAACGGGCACACATGGCCCATTTGAGGCCCAAAAGTGGGCACCAAATTGGGCCTTTACGGAGCTTCATTAAGGGACCGGTTTACGGTAAAATGAATGGATCGTCCCCTTCCCTTTAGTCCAATTCGGCAGAACAGAAGAACGCATCTTCCGGCATCAAAGGGACGGGCCAGCTCAATAGCTCTTAACATTTACGCTTTCCATAGACTACTTCTACAAGAACAATAAAGACAGTTCAATTATACAGGCAAACATTAATTTTGCACAAAACATGGGCCTGGACGAGACAAACAAGATACACAAGCTTCACTAATCACAAAAAGAAGGACAACTCGGGCTTCGGAGTGAAGCAGAACATGCTTTCGCCGAAATATTCAAACAACGACGCGAGCAAGTGTCCAGCATTCACATCCTCTTTCCAAGCCTGGGCTAAGGCGTTCGATGTCTTTAAAGCTGGACCACCACCGGCATCCCTTCCCGAGGTGCCTTCACTGGGCAATTGACGCAATACAGCAACACCGGGACCTCCCACCGCCCCTGAGAATCCGCTCGCTACTCCTTGCATGGGATTGGGAGGCATGCCACCAATCATTCCCTCTGTGGCTATCCTTTTCAGTGGGGGTTGCTGCATTAAGTTGTCTGAGCTCGCTCTCCGTTTATCTGAGTGCACATGTGAAATTACATCTCATATAAGAAGGCATAAACTAATCGGATCAACAACTTGATTTGAAGGAATGTAACCGATTGAAAGGATTGCAGCAAGATTATCATAGGCTTATCTAAAATGGGGGTAAAAAAACAAAACATGAACATGACGAGCAAAATCCAAAGATTATTACATAAAAAGCAGAACTAAACTAACAACACACAGCCGGACAACATTAGTTGAATTTGGTTCTTTCAAAAAGATTTATATCAGCCAACACTCTAGCTCGTGGGAACCATAAGATCTCCATTAACAAGCAAGTTTTAGTGCCGCTATAGTAAGACCACATGCAGCACAACCCCATCTAGTGAGAGAAAATAATGCCTGCTATGAACTATTTATCTGGAAGAAAACACCAGACAGTAACAAGAAACCATTCCATTCTTAGCTGTTGGCACTTAATTTTCAGGACCCAACACATCAGCAGGCATTTCTAGGACCATTGGCAGTTGAATCCTAGCTATAGTAAGACCACGTGCAGCACAACCCCATCTAGTGAGAGAATGTAATGCCTACTATGAACTATTTATCTTGAAGAAAACACCAGACAGTAACAAGAAACCATTCCATTCTTAGCTGTTGGCACTCAATTTTCAGGACCCAACACATCAGCAGGCAATGCTAGGACCATTGGCAGTTGAATCGTACCGTACTGAAAAGTAAAACCATAAGATAAGACAGGCAAATAGTCACATCATTCCTATAAAAGGACATACAATTTGCAGAGGCCTCATGGGCTCACAACAAGGAGATGGCTAATGATGCAAAGCATATTAACATTCCAATCACGTGCAGAACTGCTTTACATGCAATTACAAATCCACAAAATCAGCGCTTAATTATCAAACAATGCTAGTGGGACACTCAATTGATAATCTGCAACTACTTTAGGGTTTGAGCTCATACTTGGCATCACCATCTTGACCTTCCTGTTGGTCTTCCAAACAGCACGAGTTGGGGGTGCGAGCAATTTGGGGAGCATCTTTAGTCGATTGTACATACAAAGGCCAGCAGCACTCTGAAAGCAACAAGTTTACACAATTAGACTAATCAGCATACCATATTCTCTGATGACACAAGACAACAAACTAACCAGCAGAGCTCCATAAACACGCCAGGCTTCAAGCCTCTTTATCTCATTTCTTTGATTCTCAAGCAACAATTCTGACGAAAGAAGTTGCAGATAAGGCTCAAGATTTGGTATTATCAACAGCCGAACCTGTGTTGACAAAGATGAGAAATTGCTTAAAACCAGCACTGACAAATTATTGCAAATGAACAAGACCAAAAGTGAACATCGACATATTAAACAAGAGCCAAAAGATTCAAGGAAGTTCATAAATTTTGCAATGAAAATCACAAATCATAAAATTACAAGGATTAGGGAACTTCTAAAGTGATTGAACTTAGGTCACTTAAAAGTTTTAGCGGAAGCTATTTCTTATATTTTAAAGCATCCAGTACATGGGCACTACAATCTTTACCACTGCTGAACATACCACACTAGGTCCAAGCGCTGCTAATCCTTTGATTGCACCATAATGCTGAGGCAATGACTTCTTTGGATCCAGGAAAGCATGAACGAGGGTCCGTATGACACGCGGCTGCAGATTATGGTAAACATGCCCATATCTGCAATAAATACCCCCAGGAAATGTGATTCACTAATTTTCATAAGCCAGAGGAGCAGCCATGGCACATGTACATGCCTCAATGCAGGTCTGAGTGGGCATTATTCCTCTTCCATCCCATCACAGTTTTCTTATCAGGTTAATTCTCCCAAAAATGACCAGCTAAAAGATTAAATAAAGAGTGCATAGAGTATTATGAACACCGGTGAGGTGGATGATCTAAATTGCCAGAACTTAATGAAGAATGCTTCTCCTCTCATCCTTGAGGCTTGCACAAGGACCAAATGCCAAGGTACAAGATCGGAGGCAGTATGAAAGCTCTCAGCATCATGAAAAGAGTGGGGAGTAAGTATATCCAGGTGCCCAACATCTTTAAAAGTTACTCAAAATAAAACATGAAGCAAGAACATGACTACCTTTTACATATTGATGCAACCAGACTTGCTGACATGTTTCTGAGCTCCCAGTGATTGTCAGTCAACCGATTACCCAATCTTTTGGTAACAAGACAAGTAATAATAGATGGCATCAATTGGTGCAGCTGGAGAGAGGAGATTTAGAAAGTTGAAGATCGATCAATGACAATGTAAAACTTTTACTTCAAACAAATGAACAGTGAATGATTAAAGGGTGCAAGTAAACCGAAACTGGATCCCACAAACTCAATAAATTATTGTAAATAAGGCCCTCTAGTTAGTCCAGGGGTAAAAAGCAAAGATATGGAGAAAAACAAAAGAAGAGAACTCAAACAGCATATCATATTCATGCTGTTATTTGATTCTGCAAGCTAATGACTATATGGTATAGCTGTCCGCTTTACAGGATTACACGTATTTCGATATTCAAACTGATCAAGGAAAACGTACTTAGATCTCAGCATGAATCATTGGATACTCATTTCTTTTGTCCATTTAACATCACAAGAACACTTGAATATAAATCCAATCAGAATTAAATTTGAAAAACAGCTGATGTTGCAACTTACATAGGGTTCAATATGAACGTGTGGATTTTGAAGAAGGCTTCCCGCAACGCGCACTAGGGCAAAAAGCAAAGAGATCTTGCTCAAATTTCTTGTAACCTAAGTAATCAGACAAAGGAACTAAACTAAGAGTAGGCAGTACATGTAAAAACATTTCGAGAAAATTGTAGTGAAAAGGCAACATATGACACAAGAAGAATAAGTAGTACCTCATCAGCAATAAACTGCGTAAAATAAGGAATCAAAGGATGAAGACCCGAGTCAGTGGCCAAGCTTACAAGTGCTTGGTTAAAGAGGACAGAGTCCGACTTGCTAACAGTAAGTTCTCTAATTTTGTCGAAGTATAGCTGCTCAGCAGAATGAAAGGAATGTCTTAGCAAATGATCTTTCTGCTAGGGTCAAGGAAATTAGGAAAAGAATAACTGCATCAAAGAATCACGATACTTTACCTGAAGCTCCCTAGATGGAACACTCTTAATGGGTAATTTGATGTCAATAGAAATTCCATCTTCCCTGTTTTCATACCTTTTGCCATCCGATGCCATTGTAAGTGCTATAAACGAAAAAGTAGAACCACAATAATTAACAAAGAATCTTTTGTTATTCATCCAACACATTTCACATAATAAGGATCCATAGAGGAACAAATCCCTTAAAAATCAGAAAGCAGAGACCTATTTCTGTTTTAATATCAGGTTAATTAAGAAGGCATAGTTCCAGCTGATGCCAAATTTCACCGGGATACCTTCAAAAGGAGGATTTTCTGGAATTGCAGGCTGAACCCCTTCAATCGCTAACCAATGAGCAGACACTGATGTATCAAGTGGAGCTCTCGGCAAAGGTGCATCAATGACCTTCAAGCTAGAGCTCATTAGAGAACCTACGTGAAGGACTAAAGACGGAAGAATCTATAGCAAAATCAAATATTTCTTACCTCTTTGAATTCCACGTCCTTCTCATCTATGTAAAACAGGCCATTATGTCCAGCAGCTCTTTTGAATCGCGGTGCATCACTGGAGGCGAATCCATATATTGGCTACAACAAGGAAATGGCAGACAAGAATGAAGAGAACTACATTGCAGAGAGAATGCCTGTATAAAATGTGACCGCCGTCACTTGGCACGTACATGAAGGGGAAAGTTATAAAGAAAGGTTTCACATAAGAGCCATCCCATTGTCCATCCAAAAGAAATGTGAAAAAAAAAAAAAAACTTAAAAAGCGACATTGGAGGTCTTATGAGGGCCATGTTAAATTGACATTCTTAATGATGGCTGTATTCACATATATTTGCAACAATAACTTGTTCCATAGTAGGATTAACGCAAAAAGAAATCTCCTAACCCGCTATCTTCTTATCCAAACAGACAATACTACTTTCCTTCAAGTATTAGCAGTAGCATATGATGATCACCTCCACATTTCTCAATTTAAGGGCGCTGTCCACATCATCAACAGTCAGTGCCGTTCGCTTCGAGTGGCGCATGCATTTGATCGCCTCCTGCAACTCCCAAACAGAAAATCCCTAATTAACAACACATCAAGACAGTGAACTAGTGTTCCAACAGCAACAACACATCAAGACAGTGAACTAGTGTTCCAACAGCAACAACACATCAAGACAGTGAACTGGTATTCCAACAACAACACTTCCACAACATCGATTCATGGACCGGAAAGATAGCTTCACCCTGCAACCACTACAACAAAAGCCCCTCATAACCTGGATAATTGCATCCCGCTTTCGACGCAAAGTTCTCCTTTCTAGTAGCGCCCCAGAAACACCAGCACAGCAACAACACGCCATCGTCATTTCTCACAGCTATCAACCACCATCGTCGCTAGTATTAGCTCCAATTAGGGAAACCAATTCGCTCGAGCGGCATTTCGTGCGCAGGGGTTGAAAATCGGGGATCCTACGAACGAAAGGCCAAGGGCAAAGGCAGCTCGCCAGCCACCGACTCACAACGTGCCACACAGAAAATCGTCGCAGTACGGCAACAGAGTCGAAGAACAGGCGAATGGATCCGGCGACCGTACCTGCATGATTTCTTGAAGGTGGTACTCGACATCGGAAGCGAGTTCGTCGGTAACATCGGGGGACAAATTCGAGACGCCAATGGTCTGCGCGAGGACCTCGATAGACTCCTTCGGCACGAGCCTCATCTCTATCTTCTTCTACTCGAGCGGGCGACAAAGCTGCATCACTCGAGGCCTCCTGCAGAGCTTTCTCCGCACGCCGCGATCACCATAGCCACGAAGCTCGATTCAGAGCAAGGTAGAAACCGCGAACTACACACCAAGGTGAAGAAATGCTGCCGCAATTCGATCGAGCTGTGCCTTCGATTTCTCGGAATCAGGGAAGAGAATCCTCGATTCTAGGGTTTATACTGAGAGACGAATCTCCGGTTGAACTCCGATCCAGGAAGGAGATTGGTATTAATAGAAGACCGCCCGAACCATGAGCCGCTCGGACCGGACCAAAACTGGCCGGTTATGGAATCGGTAATTTTCAATCCGGTTCCCAATTTCTGGGTGAGAACAGGATTAAATACATAACCTCTTGTCTCTCGGTGTCATCTCCTCTCACACTTCGCTTTGTTTCTTTCATATTGTTGCACCCATTCATCCAACTTGCTCCTTCTTCATTTATTTTACTTTCTTTTTTTTCCTGCAAAGATTCACTGATTTTACCTATCTCGCTTACTCACATCTTCCTTAAATTTGTGAGTCCGTTGTTTATGAAAAAGAATCTATCGAATCCTACTCCTTTTTTTCGAGCGTGCCCGTACATCACGGCCCTATCATTTCTCGGTCTTCTTTGCAAATCTTAGACGAAATCCCAGTTTTGAATTGTGATATGAATTGGCAATTCAATTAATCGAAAACTTTCGATCAAGATATGTGAATTCACCGGTTTCATTATACCGCCTGAGAATCGGACTAGATTGGTCAGTCCAGTTCCCAGTTCCTGAGTGGGACCGGATAGGACCAGACCGAGGATCGATCATCCCTAGGTATTAAAGGAGATCGGCGTTGACAATGCGCACGGTCTTCGATTTGTCACGTGGGCCCAGATCGGGAATGGAACAGCTCCTTATGGGCCGGGCACGAATGAAACGGATCTATTGTTTGGGCTTCCGAATGGAGAGCCCAAGAAAGAAGTACGGAAATCCATGTCCATCAACTGGATCGAATTCTTATTCCTTAGTAGTTACGAGAGCTTTGCGTCAAGAAAGGTGCACCGGTATTAGGAATTTTGGTAGCTGCATCCGACCTATCTTATCTTATACATCTTTTATCTGCCACATCTTTTACTCGATTTCATAGATGAACACTGCTCAAAAGGTTATCCTCTCTGCATAAAAAGGAAAGGTCTCGAGATCATCCCATTTTCTGCAGCGCCCTCAACAATGTACTACCCACTATTCAATAAAAAACTTACGAGCAGCCGATCGAGAGAGGCGAAAGGGGGCTTTCCTGCAAGCAGCCGGAGAGTTTTCTGGCCTCGCCCTATAAGATTACAGAGGACATGCGACCAAGGCGTCAACCTCTCGGCAGGAAATCCACACGGTTCATTGGCCAATAAACACTGCATTGCAAGGAAAAGCTCGACCCTCAAGTATACGTCACCCGAGCGTCGAACAATTTCAATGCCAGAAATGGGGCTCTCTATAGTTGGACATGGACCAAAAAACCAATCATCCAAATTGAAAAAGGTTCAAAACTCTGAACTTACTCATTTGCTGAACAGAGCAGATTGGATTCACAATCAGTCCTCACATGGAGCCGCGCCCACACTTTACTCAGTTGCTTCAATTCTCAGAATAAATACAAAGCAAACAGTGGAACACACCCAAAAGAAAAGAAAGAATGTCCACCATGGCCAAATACAAACCACACCCAGGCGATATAAATCGCTTCTCAGTTGTTCGATTTACAGGTATTTGATCAACATATATACAGCTGCGACCAGAATCACAATCCCGATAACAGACAAAATCATGCACATGCAGGTGCAGCCTCCCTTGGTGCGCTTGTTCAAAATTGCCAGGTTCTTCTGCACTCGCTGTTCTCGCAACAAAACAGTCAACAAAACGAATATCCTTCAAAATTTTTAACAAATGAAATGTGCAACACATAAACAGAGACATTCATAAAAGAGACACACGCTCTCCGATAGAGAATAAACAGGTAGAGTTTAGTTCAGACCGAAAAAACATCTCAACTTGCAAAAAAATGCACCGGTGCATAAAGCATTCTTATGTATGAGTATTAGTATAATAACATCCATTGGACTAAGGCTGCGCTTGGCAAAGCCCTTTGGGGCTTTAAAGGCTTTTGGGCAAATGCAAGTACCGTGTGGCAATTTTTTGGATATCTGTCGGGAGATACATTTGCATTTCCAAAGCTCTCTAAAGGCATTTAGCCAAAAGCAAGTCCGATTGGGCTTTAAGTATTTCCATAATGCTAATACATTTCTTCTCTTCCAACTTTGCTCTCGCTAAAATTTCGAATTCCGAAATTGCCCTCATCACGCGCGTCACCAATGAGGCCACACACTGTCGGCAAGCCAGATCTATGAGGCCAGATTTGGCAGCTGGCGACCTCAAGTGGCGTCGCCTGAGTCGCGAGACCTCAGCTGGCATTGCCTTGGTTAGCACGGCGTCGCTTGGGTCGCAGAAACCCAAGCGAGGCTGGGTTTTTCTTTTTGTAAAAAAAAAATAGCAAAAGTCCTTCAGAGCGATACTTTTTTCCAAACAATATCTAAAGCAAAGTTGCTTCCCAATGCATTTTTAAATTACACTTTGCCAAATACCATTTGCATATAGAAAAAACCATTTCGCCTAAAGTACTTTGAATTTTCCCAAAAGCTTTCCCCAAAAGTCTTACCAAACGCAGCCTAAGTATGTCTAAAACAGCTATCTAAATATCTTTAGCATTTTTGAACCATGAACTATATCCTTTAAAGCATATAGATAAAGACCTTATGTATCCTTGAACATCTACCTCGTTACAATTTGGAAACAAAATCCAGGGAAATATATTAGTGCATGCTCTCCAAGGCCAAAACAACCTAGAAAGTATAGAAAGTCCGGTCTCTTCCTTCTTCCATGTTTCGGAACCCATTTAAGACGTTCTTTTTGTGAAAGTTCCACACAACTATGACAAATTCTAAGTTTATTGAGATTCAATCCCCTTCGTTGAAATTCTTGGGCACAGTATACTGTAGCTAGGAGAAAGGCCACTTATCCTGAACACTAACCAACTGACTTCACTGAAATTCAAGCTCGTAAAAGCTGATATGTATGTGCAAGAAAAATACCCGAAGACGAGAGTCCGTAACATCCACATGTTGGTCCAAGTTATCCTGCAGATCACAAGAGGCAATTAAATAAACTTCCAACTGGAAAATTCAGTCACAGCAATCTATAGATGAGATAGTAAAGGATAAAAAAATGCAGTATACAATAAACAACACACATCACATACAATTAGTCTAGTATGCAAGTCAAGTTCCTCGTTCACTGCCAATGCGATATGTTTCGTGCTTACTACTGTCTCCTCCAGTTTCTCAAGACCTTCATCTTGTTCTGTCAAAGGCACACACAGACAAAGACTTAATTTTTTCACCGGTGCATAGATGATAGATCAGCAAGAACAGAAAACTCTATGTCCAGGACTTCGCATCTGCTAAATTCCAAGGGTAGGGTGGCAAGTGAAAAAGTCCTAGATTAGAAGCTTGCCTCTCATAATTTGTCGCTGAAGAACCACGATTCCTTGATTGTCCAATCCTGTAGTCCTGCTCATGGCATCCGCCGGCTTTATCTCTGACCCAAGCAAGCTATCCCTGTTAGCAGAGTGTGACATTTTCAACGTGGAATCCATCTGGTTCACTCTTGTTCTCAAATTTGAAAGCAAGTCCTTGCGACGATTAATCTCTTTCTCCGTTCTGTGTAAGAAAAGAGGAAGCATTGCCAAAAAATCAGAAAATAATTGACCTCACAAAAGTAGCAGAAACTACTCCTACTAACACCAGCCTTTTGTTTCCTACAGCAGTTTTAGTGACCAAAACAACAATTCACGAGTTTAAATACGCTTAAATAGTTCAAACAGCCGGAAGCTCTCGGCTTCTTTGTCAAACCACACAAAGAAGACTTGACTGATGTGAGAACGTTACTCCACTTTCACATATCGTGACGGAAATTCAATCGCCGTTTGCTGAGTCCAAAAACTCCATCCAAGTCGATTAGAAACTTATCTAAAGAAATTTAGTATGCTTTAAAGGAACATAATAACAATAGAAGAAGCTTAGACATCATTGTAAATATTTAGCCTGAAATGAGAGAGAAATCTTATGAGAAACATTAAGACTGACTGCAAATAGATCAATCAAAGTAAAGTTCCATACATATACTTGTACAAATTTATGCTGAAAATTGGCTCCTTGTAGCTCTACACTTGAAACTATGAAAAAATGACTATATGCTGAAGCTCATTTTAGCCAGCAACAATTCCAAAAAGCTATTAGTCTATTCGTTGCTTAGTTATCATGCCATAAAGAAAGATCAACATACAGGAAGATCATCAGAGCAATAGCATCAACAAACAGCAATCAGCAAATTCAGCAAACAATTCATTGAAGGATATAATCATCACAAACAATTCAAAAAAGGATATAATCATCAATAGACACAATACAATCACCAGGAGATACTTCGATAGAGGCCCAAGAGTTCATAATTTCCGAGGAACCATCAAAGCAATGGCATGAAAAGGACTTACATGGGCCTGCTGAAGGGCTTCGTCAAAATGTTCTGTAAGCTGTCAAGTCTAGTGTTCAATATAGTAATTTTTCTCCGTGTAGCAGATGCATGACGCATGCTTTCAGGTCCTGATGTGGGCAATGAACTGCGTTCAGCAATCATGCTACTGATCTCATCAGCCAGTTTTACCGCATCATTATATTCTTTCATCCATGAATCTCCGGAAGAGGCCATCCTCCTAAAGGAAAAAGAATGATAAATTGCAGTTGAGTATAGCAACAAATAATAACTTCTATGACACCATACAAGGGAGTACGACTTCTGTGAAGTGCCCACCAGTATAAATAAATAATGAAAATGAAAGAACGCGCATGAAAGAAATGGACATGACAGTAAAGTAAAGACTGTAGGCAAATCTATAATAGTGCTTAAGGAAAGTTACTAGTAAAGATTTTCAATCCACAGCTTTTTTGTTAAAATCCAGTCTTCAAACCAAAAAAAAAAAAAAAACCATCAATTGTTGCTAAAACTAGAAAAAAGAGTATAGGGCATCAGCACAACAGATTCCCAGAGAACCAACTTAGATGCTCTTTCAAGCTAAAGGCTGAATGGTGAGGGAGACCCAGATACTCTTTCAACCATACCGAAAAACACACATCACTTCACCTGAAAGCCAACAAATGAGAGCGCTATGCAGTATAGCTACAAAGCTTGTCACTTGTTATCCCTACTTTTCAATGGGCACAAGAGTGAAAATGTAAGATAGAACATCTAAAAGACAAACTGCCGTGCCATTGAAAAGTACACCCAACCAACGGTGATTCGCTACATTGAATCAGACTAGAGGATAACCCACAAATTGCTACTGGCAAAAATAACTACTCAATCAATCACCAGATATAACTAAAAATGATAAAGTGGGCAAGCAACAGAGCATAAGGTATGATATCCCTGAATCATATCCAAGTTAGTATCTTTTCTTGTATTCAAGCATGAGAATCCACTAGTAAGTCTCAAGAACAAGCTCAAATCTATAGAATGAACACCGCGAGCACATATCCGTATGTCACAGACGTTACATGCATGTGCAAGAACCGTCGTGAGGTCTTGGATCATCTGCTGATCCATTACAATGTGGCCACATTCATACGGTCTCCAGTCTTTGAAAAGGCTACCGTACCCTGGAGAATGCCACAGGACATGAAGGATTTGCGAAGTATGGCCTTAATAATCTTTTCTGTGTCTTTTCTGTGACCCGAATCTCAACTTACACATACAATTCTTTTCCCCTAGTGAAGCACCATGATCTTTAGCATAACCGATCCACGTCCCCGCTCAACAATCAGATTATCCAACATTGTACTATCGTCCAACAAACACTTCCACTTCACGGGGGCATCCTACGACCTAGTACCTTAAAATTCACCCAAACCGCGGACGAGGCGAGGTACGATTGAGCGCCGATATCTTCCATTCGAAACAAAGAAACAAACAGTCGAAGAGCGCCTTCCAGTACAAGAATTGAATTGAAGGAGCGAAACAAGATAGCAATTGAGACTGAGAAACACCTTTTTTAACGTCTGTCGATCTCGCCGGCGGTGGCGACGGAGAAGGCGAGGAAACGGATGGGGCGACTCGGAGACGCGATTCCCGGCGATCCCGACGGAGGTACCGACTGCTGCGACGGTGATTGTTGCCCCTTGTTAGGGAAGGTGGTGGAGAAGATGAAGAATTGCTTTCTATGGAGAAATCGGAGGAAGGGTGACTACGCACAGACAGAAAGAGAGAGAGAGAGAGAGAGAGAGGGAGAGAGGGATTACGAAGTTTATTCTTCTTGTTTTTTTCGTTCTTATAGGATTAGGATTAGGATTAGATGAATGTTAGATAAGGGGGAGGGAGAAAATCATAAGTGAAAATACCAACGCCATTCCTCATCGTTAATTCAATTTTTGGAAAAAATACTAAATATGAAATTATAGATTTTTTTTGGGGGGAAAATGAACAAAAAAAGAACTTGTAGATTCACATGTCATTGTTGTAAAATATTGCGTGTATATTTTCCTCTTTCATTGTCTTCTTCCGATATGATTTCTTACCAAATGACAAAAAATAAGCTCCTATTTATAAGGAAACAAGGATGCACATATCATTAATGTCAATGTATTGAATATATACATTGAATAGGGAGATGGGCATTCATATGTAGAATGTAGGTTACGAATGTGCCATAATAGGTACATTGAATATAATGAATATTCATTCGTGTATTTCATAACACTCCCCCTTGAATATTCATTGCATTCATGAATGTGCATTGAATGATACTGCCTCAGTAAAAACCTTAAGCCGGAAAAACCCAGTGGGACAAAAACCGGACAAAAGGGAAAAAGAGTACAGGGCACAAATTTTATGATCTCTCCCTTTTATGGATGCATTAATTGCCTCATTAAAAACCTTAAGCCGAAAAAACCCAATGGGACAAAAACCGGATAAAAGGGAAAAAGAGTGCAATGCATAGTTCACAATATCTCCCCCTCAATTTGAGCTATATAGCCACTGCTGGGGCTAGTTAATCTTGCATCTTATGAACTCGCCGCATACCAATGCCATATACTAATTTCTCAAAAGTTGACGTTGGCAATGATTTGGTAAAAAGATCTGCAAGATTGTTTATGGATTGAATCTGCTTAACATCAATTTGTCGACTTTCTTGGAGTTCGTGAGTATAGAAAAATTTCGGCGAGATATGCTTGGTCCTATCACCTTTGATATATCCTACCCTAACTTGTGCAACACAAGCAGCATTATCTTCATAAATTATAGTGGGATAATTTGTAACCGGTGTTAAGCAACAAGAATTGTGAATATGTGTTATAACGGATCTTAACCAAACACACTCTCTTCGAGCTTCATATAAAGCAATAATCTCAGAGTGGTTGGAAGATGTAGCTACTAGCGATTGCTTCGTAGAACGCCAAGAAATGGCGGTGCCATTATAACAAAATAAATAACCAGTTTGAGAGCGAGCTTTATGTGGATCATATCTATATCCAGCATCAGCATATCCAACTAAACCAGAGGTAGTGGAATCCTTGGAATAATATAATCCCAAATCTATGGTTCCTCGGAGATAACGAAAAATATGTTTAACTCCATTCCAGTGTCTCCGAATTGGCTCAGAACTAAAACGTGCCAATAAATTTACCGCAAAAGCGATATCTGGTCTCGTACATTGTGCCAAGTACATCAAAGCCCCAATTGCATTGAGATATGATACTTCAGGACCAAGTATCTCTTCATCAGATTCTCTAGGACGAAACGGATCCTTTTGAAGATCTAGAGACCTTACAACCATAGGAGTGCTTAATGGGTGAGTATTGTCCATGTTGAAGCGTTTAAGTAATCTTTCAATGTATGCTGATTGATGGACGATTATTCCATTTGCTTTATGCTCAAGCTCTAGACCAAGACAAAGTTTGGTTTTACCCAAATCTTTAACTTCAAATTCCTTTTTCAAATACTCAGCAGTTTTAGCTAACTCTTCTGGAGTTCCAATTAAATTTATATCGTCGACATAAACTGCTATAATAGCAAATCCGGTTTCTGATTTCTTAATAAACACGCATGGGCAGATAAGATCATTCTTGTACCTTTCCTTAATTAGGTACTCACTTAGGCGTTGATACCACATGCGACCGAATTGCTTTAACCCGTACAAAAATCTTTGCAATTTTATTGAGAATAAGTTGCGGGGAGTGCATGCATCGGGCATTTTGAATCCCTCGGGAATTTTCATATAAATATCCGAGTCTAATGAGCCATATAGATATGCCGTCACAACGTCCATAAGACGCATTTCCAATCTTTCAGAGAGTACCAGACTAATGAGAAAACGAAATGTAATCATATCCATCACAGGTGAATATGTCTCATCGTAATCAATCCCAGGTCTCTGGGAGAATCCTTGGGCAACGAGTCGGGCTTTATACCTGACAACCTCGTTTTTTTCTCATTTCGTTTCCGGATAAATACCCATTTATATCCAACGGGCTTTACATTATCGGGGATGCAAGTTATGGGTCCAAAAACCTCTCGTTTAGCTAGGGAAGCCAATTCAGCCTTAATTGCTTCCTCCCACTTAGACCAATCTTGTCTTTGACGGCATTCAATAATAGATTGCGGCTCACAATCATCATCCATAATTTTATGAGCAACTGAGAATGCAAAAGCATCATCAATGATGATTTCATTCCGATTCCAAATCTCATTACAATATGTAATGGAATTCTCAGTATTCCTAGGGTTGGTGATCTTTTCATGGGTTTGTGCCTCTTCAGGGGCATTAATCTCTTTAGGAGTAAGCACAACACCGGGCTCTTCTGGAGTGGATTCCTGATTCTTTCCCCTTCGTTTTCGACGAACAGTGTCTTTTGATCCTATCGGTCTACCACGCTTCAAATGTGGGGGATTTTGATCCATTTTAGCTTGTCCTTCGGGAACAGCTATCCTAGCTGGAGCATTTGTAGCTGGAATATGAGACTTCGTTACCTTAGTAGCATCATTAAATGCGTCAGGAAGTCTATTGGCTATAGCCTGTAAATGGATTATGCGCTGCACCTCGTTTTCACACTCAGAAGTTCTTGGGTCTAATTGAGATAATTTTTTCTCATTCCAAGAGAAAACCTTAACTGATTTTTGCGTCACAGCCATGTCAGTTTTAGGTGTCCCAATCGATGGAAACATAGTCTCATTGAAATGACAATCTGCGAATCTGGCAGTAAAAAGATCACCAGTAGTTGGTTCCAAGAACCTAATGATGGACGGTGAATTAAACCCAACATAAATGCCCAAACGGCGTTGGGGACCCATTTTCATTCTTTTTGGCGGTGCTACAGGCACCTGCATTGCACAACCAAAGGTGCGTAAATGTGAAATATCAGGTTCATAACCAAGAACCATTTGAAGGGGAGATTGTAAGAGACTAGTAGTGGGGCGCAATCTTATTAAGGCTGCCGCATGCAAAACTGCATGACCCCATGCTGTATCGTTGAGATTCATTCTCAATAATAGAGTGCGGGCAATGATTTGGATATGTTTAATCAATGATTCTGCCAATCCATTTTGAGTATGAACATATGCGACCGGGTGCTCGACCTCGATTCCGAGTAAAGTACAATACGTATCAAAACTCTTTGATGTAAATTCACCAGCATTATCCATCCTTATGCTTTTAATTGGATAATCAGGGAATTGTGCCCGGAGCTTTATAATCTGCGCAAGTAAACGTGCAAAGGTGACATTTGCACGTAGATAATAGACAAACATGGGACCATCTACAGGATGCGTCCACTAATACCATAAAATATCGAAACGGTCCACTTGGTGGTTGTATTGGTCCACAAATATCACCCTGAATTCTTTGCAGGAATAAAGGGGATTCAAGATCAACCTTTGTTATAGAAGGTTTGATAATGAGTTTTCCTTGTGAACAAGCTTCACAATTATAATCTTTGGACAATAATACCTTTGTATCCTTTAAAGGGTGCCCTTTTGTATTTTGAATTATTCTACGCATCATTGAAGCGTCAAGGTGACCAAGGCGATCATGCCATAATCCAAACTGATCAGGGTTTACCAATCTCCAGGATATGGTGGAGTAGGTTTCAACGGCCTTAACCATGACACAATACAAACCCATAGAAGAAGCTTCTAGCTTCTCATGGATGGTCTTCAGGCCCATCTTATAAGAGGTAATGCCAATATATTCTTTATTTTGCTCATAAATAGTCTCAACATGGTACCCATTACGGCGTACATCTTTGAAGCTAAGCAGATTCCTTTTTGATCTACTGCTTAGAAATGCATTCTCAATATGCAGGATGGTGCCTTTTGGCAAAACAATTGTGGCATTCCCGAAACCATCAATAATCGGAATAGGACCAGATATTATATGGACATGTGTCTTACGCAATGTCATACTCGAGAAAAAGTGTCTACTACGAAATATGGTATGCGTTGATGCACTATCAAGCAAACAAACATCTTCCTTTTTCTCGGTGTTTTCCATTTGCATTTATGTTGACAACTTTAGGTGTCAAGTATCATAAAATTTTCATATTAGTTATAGGAAATTTCAAAATAATAAATATTATGTCAAGTTCATAAGCATTTCATTGCATAACCATATTAAAGAACAATAAAAGGTAATACATTTAAAGAAAAACAACTAGAAAAGAAATTATTAGAATCATAAAATTCGAAGTCTAAGATGTCATCCACCAGTCTGATGCTTCATCAAAGTAATCAGAGGTCCTCAAAGAAATCAGAGACATCCAGGGATGCATTTGCTACTTCAGGAGCAAGAGGAGTCCCACCAACAGAGATATTGTTGGCCTCAACAGTGGTTATGGCAGCAGGATTAATTTCAATGGCGTGAGATTCACCACGTTTGCCCGTATTTTTTAAAGATGCCTGGTATAGATCAACAAAGTGCTTTGGCGTACAACAAGTACGTGACCAGTGCTTAGTCATGCCACAATGATGGCAAATACTTTCATTAGTTACCTTCTTTGGCTTCTTTTCTTTGTCATGATTCGGGCCAAATTAGATTTCCTAGGGCGGTTAAATTTTCTGCCACCCCTTCGAAGATTATATTCTTGCCTGCGCTTGTAGCCCTTAAAATGGTCAGTAATTTTCTCAGAGTTAGCATGTGCTTCAGGCAATGCTTTTGAGCCAGCAGGTCTAAGATCATGATTTTTTAGCAGCAATTCATTAGTTTGCTCAGCAGTGAGGAGCACAGAAATTAATTTAGAGTATGTGTCAAATTGACGCTGCCGGTATTGCTGTTGCAATACAATATTCGAAGTATGGAAGGTGGAGAAAGTTTTCTCTAACAGTTCCGCATCAGTGAGCTTGATACCGCATAACTCAAGCCGAGAAACAATATCAAATAAAGCGGAGTTATAGTCAGACACTGATTTAAAATATTGTAGTATGAGATTTTGCCAGTCATATTGTGCTTGAGGAAGGATAACAGTCTTGGTATGATCATACCTATCCTTCAACCTCTTCCACAAGGTCTGAGGGTCTCGAACGGATAAATATTGAGTCTGCAGGCTCTCATGCAAATGACGACGAATAAAAATCAGTGCATTTGCTTTATCTTTTGCATTTGAGGTTCCGTCTTCTGTAATTGCGTTAGCAAGATCTTGCCCTTGGAGGTGCATTTCCATGTCAAGGCACCAGGATAGATAATTATTTCCACTCACTTCGAGGATGTGGAATTTGGGCTTTTCAATATTTGCCATAATTCTTGCAAAACAAATGAATCCTTAAATTAATTAGAAGGATTTCCAAATATCCACCGCCACTTCAGGAGCAGAAGGATACTTTTAGGTTGAAAATTTGGCTTCAGGCCAAGCAAAAGAAAAAAAATTGATAGAAGAAGATGAAGTATAAGTTGATTAATAAAAAAAGAGAATATATACTTACCTTGCAAAAATTATTTACTCAATTGGTAGATCTTCGTGCTGATAACGTGTTGTAAAATATTGCGTGTATATTTTCCTCTTTCATTCTCTTCTTCTGATATGATTTCTTACCCAATGACCAAATATAAGCTCCTATTTATAAGTAAACAAGGATGCACATATCATTAATGTCAATGTATTGAATATATACATTGAATAGGGAGATGGACATTCATACGTAGAATGTAGGTTACGAATGTGCCATAATAGGTATATTGAATATTCATTCATGTATGTAGGTTACGAATGTGCCATAATAGGTACATTGAATATAATGAATATTCATTCATGTATTTCATAACAGTCATATCTTTTTATAACTTTTTTGAATTCTGAATGATAATTTAAAATGTGGCGAGCAAGGAAAACTGACTTTTAACTCTCGAGTTTTGAACAGATTAAAAAGATTTTGCACTAAATTAACCTTAGCAAGATCAAGCAAAAACCTGACCAGAAAAGGATTAATCAAATTCGCTTTATTAGAAATATTTAATGGGAATAAATTGTTGATAAATACTGAGAAGTTATATGTATGTACACGGAATCGGAAAGATATTTCCAGATTTGATGGTCTTAAAAAGATTATTGTCAAATATATATAGATAGATTTAAACTAAAAAAATGAAACGTGTGGGATATAAGATAAAAGTATTAATTTACACATTTATGCATGGGCACAACATATATATAAAATGAGCAGATAAGGGGTACTTGGAAAAGAAAAGGAAATATTGAGATTCTTTGAAAAATAGTATAGAATCGTATAGATTAAAAAAATCACGAAAATTATTTCATCATATATTCATTGATAGAAATGCAGTAATTTATCGACGTGAGGTCGCACGTCACCGGCGGCATTCAGACCGGCCACGTCGTCGTCTCGACAACGCCGATATGGAAAAGAAAAGTTCATCGATCATTTGACAGTTCATGCAAGGTGGGCCAGCAATGAACCACTTGTTAATTCCAAAGAGAAAAGGGAAGACGAAAAACAGCATAATCGAGTGGGCCAGCTTGGTTTTGCAAAAAGGTTTCCGAAAAATAAGAGCAATTCTCAATTTTCCTTAAAAATATATTTAGGGTCCATTTATTTAAAAAAATTATTTCCGAAAAATTATTTTTCGACTTTCCGGTGTTTTGATGACTGAAAACTAATCAATGTACGAAAAACAGTTTAGCTTAGATTGGGAGAAAACGACTTCCCAATCTTGCAAGAAAGAATTCACCCTCATGAAGGAATAATGAAACAAATGATCCCTGAACTGTGATTCAATGTGTAATATAGTCCTTGAACTTAACCCAATATGCACATTTTCATATAACTCATGGACTAAGTTAAACATATACCAAAAGTCTATGCATCATTAAACAAATTAAAGCTCAAAGATTATATTGCACATTGAGCCAAAGTTCAAGAATAATTATATCATTTTCCCTATTAATAGACACCAAATAAATTAAAACTAACTATTTTCCTTAAAATTTATTTTCATGAAAATTATTTTTTTATATCATGAAATTTTCAATGAAATAAAGCAACCTAAGTAGTGAAAAATGGACCCTTTTTTAAGGAATAGAAGCATTAAAATATGCAGAATTCCACTAGAGTTAGGTATGTTATCGCAGCGCAGGTACGAATACCTTCTTCTCCAAGCCCGCCGTAAAACCTGAAAAACAGAAGAAGGAAAAGGAACAGGGGAGATTCTATCCCCCTAGATGCGAATCTCGTGCTTCCGTCTCATCTTATCCCTCTCCACAATCACCAACTTCACGCCCTGTAAACGCAGCCTCATCTCCCGTTCGTTGTCGTTGCTCATCATATCTGAGAGATTCATCCCGATTGTTGTTCACTTTAATGAACAAGCTTCCAAAAAACTTCAATCACTCTCTTGCAACTTGTACGGATGTGAATTCCGTTCCTCTGTATCGACCAATCCACCTGTTCCTTTCTGGCTTGCTCTCTCTCTCTCTCTTTCTGGTTGCCAATATTTTGATTAACAGACCGCCAGTTGCTTTGAAGCTTTCTCTGCCCATGTCCCCGATGAACACGTTATCAATTACCCAGGTGCTAAAAACTCCTCTTGTTCAATCCGCGGCACCTCTTCGAGCTTGATTTTATCAACAAACATGTGTTGTTCATCACAGCTCAAGGTTTCGTCCTTCTTTTTCTTCTTCTTCTTCTTCGTTGTTTCGCTTCTTTTGAGTACTGCGAGTACCCAGGTCCGTGCTAATGAAGAAGGCTTCATTTCTACACTCGTGTCCGACAAGGGTCTTGATTTTGCTAAAGACTTGCTCATACGCAGAGCGGTGTACTCAATTATCCCGCTTAAGCTGCCACAAATTGAGAAATATCTGAAAATCCCAGTTGTGGGCAGAGTTGATGTTGTTCTTTGGAACATCAGTATCGATGGGGTCGAGATAGATTCTTCGTATGTCAAGACTGGTGAAGAGGGTATTGTGCTAATAGCTTCTGGTGCTACTGCGAATTTGAGCATGAATTGGCAGTATTCTTATAGTACGTGGCTGGTACCTATACCAATATCCGATGAAGGTAGTGCTTCTGTGCAGGTACCGTAAAGATCTCTTATTGAATTTGTTCTCACGATTTCTTGTTGAATTAGTGAAGTATGAGCTTGAATTTTATTGGTTCTAGTATGTCTTCTTTGATTAGTCTTGTTCTGTACAATTCGATGAATTGCTGGATTATACAGTAGTAACAGTTTTGACAGTCTAACTTGAGTATTTGCTTATTGAAAAGAAAGTCTTAATATTGAACTTAATTAGATTCCAGAGCATAAGTTGATCTGGGTGCAGTTGCTTTTCCAACATAGTAGTCAAAAGGAAAGGGAAAAGTTTATGATATTCAAACATGATGAAGAGAGGATATTGTACCTGGCATTGTGAATATCTGCGATTGAGTCGGGGATAGTTGCTTGGATGATGGGTAAGCTAAGCTTTTATATGACAGAAAGTGCTGAAGTTCATCTGGAACTTCGATGATTCTATGCAGTTAGGACTAACCGATGCTTACTAAGTTTCTTCAGTTCTCCTTCAATTTTTCCGGCTTCTCTTTTTCCTAATCTCTTTGAAAGCTTGTCGTAAAAATCTCATCATATTTCTGTGTCTTTTATCTCATGGAAGTTTAAAAGATTTGTCAATCTTGTGAAATGGGATGATGTTTCGCTTCCTATGAATGTGATGCTTCATTCTCATTAGTATACTCAGTCAATTGCAGCACAACTTTTATAAGTTCATGTTATTGTTTCTCTGATTCTTAGGCATTTTTTAATCATGAATATGCTGTGAAAGATTGTGTTAAGAAGTGCTGCAAATGACAGGTTAAAGATATGGAAGTGGGGCTTACGTTGGACTTGAAGGATCTGGGTGGTTTCCTAAAGCTATCTGTCCTTGAATGTGGATGCTATGTGAAAGCCATCTCAATCAAAATAGATGGTGGGTCATCTTGGCTATATCAAGGGTATGCAATCATGTTGAATAAGTTTTTTTCTCTCTGAATTTTCAATGGCTAATAATTTATCCACTATTTCTGGGGTCACTAGCTGATCTTTGAGTTTTTGATGGAAAAGTGTTAGCATGTGTCTCCCATTGATTTCTCTCCAGGTAAAACAAGTACATTGTTAACAAATCATGAAAACTTAAGCGTGGTGTTCAATGAACTGAAAGCTGTCAAAAGCATTGGTTAATGACTTGAGAGACACCCACACCTAGTTATATTATGCTGAAAAGGTTGGGTTTCTCCAAGTCAGTCCTGTTTTGCAGTAATTTGACAGATGATTTAACAGTTATTTGCCTTTGCCAACACTGAAAATGATTTGATTACATGTCTAGAGAAATAATATTTGCTTCTGTAAATTGCCTGTAAAAGCTTTGCTTGGACCTGCCCTTTTTCTGGTTACTGCATGAAACCTGCTACTTACTATGTTTGCTTCACTTCTCTAATCTCAGGGTAGTGGGTGCTTTCCAAGGGAAAATAGTATCGGCAGTTGAGGAAGCTATTCCCAGGAAGATTACGGAAGAAATACTGAAGCTAGATGCCTTACTGCAAGATCTTCCAAACAAAATTCCAGTTGGTGATGTGGCTTCTCTGAATGTTACTTTTGTGAGTGATCCAGTGTTGAGTAATTCTTCCATTGACTTCAAGGTCAATGGACTATTCACAGCAGAAGACGAGATCGTTGCATCTAACTATCCTCACCGACAACAAACCACTTCAGTTACCTGCACCGGTGCCAATGAAATGATTAAGATTTCCTTACATGAAAATGTACTTAAATCAGCATCTATGGTCTACTTCAATGTAAGTTCCCATTCTGTTTCCTGTTTTTCCAGTAATGAAACTGATTAAAAGCTTGATATGGTTATTTGTATGTTTAGGCTTTTATGTAAGGCTGATCGGTGTCGTTGGTTTACTGGATAATGTTTTCTTTTTTTTATTTTATTTCGGTCAGGCAGATTATATGCACTGGCTTGTGGACAAGATACCAGATCAAGCCTTACTGAACACGGCTGGATGGAAACACATCGTGCCTCAATTGTACAAGCAGTATCCAAATGACGACATGGACCTTAACATATCCGTATCTGCTCCACCTCTTACAAAAGTTACTAACCAGGGAATTGGTGCTACCATCTACGCAGATGTCATAGTTGATGTTCTGGATGCCGGTGAAGTCATACCAGTTGCCTGCGTTTCACTGGTGTGTTGATTCAACAACTCTTGCAATCTATAGCATCCTTGTGTCAATTTGTCATAGTGGTTGTGCTTAAATATGGACTTCGCTATAATTCGCTATTGTTTTCAAGCTATGAAACACCTAAAATAAACTGGTGCCAGAGATTAAGCTTGCATAGAGTATGAAAGAAGAGTTTGTACGATGCTAACAGCCGTCATCCCATTGACCTGAATTAGACACTCGCTATAATTCAAAATCCTGGCTATTATAAAATTCAGAAATTGATAAGCTTATGATTTATTTTGGAGGAATTGACCTTTTCTGTCGCTCTTTCTCTCCCTTTATTTTTGGCTCAAGTGGTTTGTTGGAAATGATAAACATTTTGTAATAATGATGGTAGTAACCTCCCTATTGAATCAGGTGATAGATACTTCGGGTTCGGCACATATACTGCAGAATAATTTGGCTGGAAGCATTAGAGTGGAGCACCTCTCTGCCTCTTTGAAGTGGAGCAATATTGGTAATCTGCACATGCTTCTGGTTCAGGTATATTAATTTAAACTCTTAGATTACAAAGTGAACCGACAGAGGGATCCTGTCAACAATCACGGAAGCCTAAACCTTATTTAGCATGTGGGCGAAAGTCATGGTGCTTGTGCGGCCATCAAGATTCTCTTCTTTATAACTTTTTCTGTGGTTTGAATCCCTTAGTTGTTATTGGGCACCAGTACTTCACGTCGTTGTGCATGCTTGTCCAGTCTCATCTAAGGACTGGCATGGCATCCCGCATAGAAATCGAGACTTTCTTTTTGCATTTGCTCATGTTAATGCCACGGTAAATACATCAGGACAGGATCTAAAAGTGCTGCAATGAATACGGATGTTTCCCATTATGTGTATTGATTTCTTCTACTGGTCCAGTGGAGAACTTGTCACTGAAATCACCTGCTACTACATTCTGTGCAGACGGTAATGTCGACAGTCATCAAAACCGTGGTTGTTCCTTACGTGAACCTACACCTTATGAGGGGATTCCCACTGCCACTCCCTCATGGATTCGCTCTCAAGAATGCAAGAATCCGGTATGCTGATTCGGGCATCCTGATCTGCAGCAACGTGAGCTACAAGACGTCAGTTTTGATTTAGTTGTAGCAGCTATTTCACTTCTTGAAGGGTGCAATTTGGTCATGTACAGTTGGGAAAATATATGTCGTAGATTGGTAAAGCCTAGTATAGTTGAAAAAGCCCAAAATTTCTTGTGCAATAAGTCACTAGGTACTTATATTTCCTCATCTCCTGTCCTTATAGCATGATACATTTTTTATCTGGAATTCCTCAAATTTTGTAACTTTAAGTTGCTTATAGTATTGGACTACTTGAACAAAAGTTTGACAAATTATGTAGATTATAGTTTAGAAAGTCTAGTAACTTGGATTCTTCATTCTCTTAGTTGGAACGTTGTATTAAAAAAGCTACAAAATTAGATACAATGCATGTCTCAATATCAATTTTCTTATTAATAGCCTTATTTGAACCTCGAAGATGGTTGGAAAAAAAAAAGTCGAAACAGAAAAAAATTTAGGAAAAAAAAAGAAAAATACCAATCAATGTGAACTTAAATAGATTCAAACCACAAAGAGAAATCTATTGAAAATTATATAAATGTAGGAAATATTTATGGAAATTGATTCAAGAATTACCATCATAATTGAAAAAAAAATGAAGTATGCCATTAAGTCCACGGTCTTATAATAATGCTATTAACTTAAATTAAATAACTCCATGAAAGTTACAGTACATACAATTTGTATAAACTATACAAAATTCTATGTAACGCTCCAAAAAAAATTCTGTTATTTGTTCTCGAATGATTTAGAGATGGCTATATGTATTACCGTTGAATATACTTGTAGATCTATAGACTTATATGAAAAATATATAACAAAGATGTATCATAAAAGGCAAAAAAAATTTAATACCAATTAAATTTAATTCGACAATTTGAATTATAGATGTAATGGGAGAAAAGAAAGTAAAATTAATACTCAATTTCGCAATTAAGTAAATTATTAATTTTACTGAGATGATGTCTAGAAGCATCACAATCTTTTATTTTTTGCAATAAGCAAAGCGTATTTTAATAATATTAAATCTTTGGTGGCACCCTTTTTTGGAGAACACTTAAAAGGAGACTCTATTGTAATTATATATATGGAGTGTATTTCGCTTCCGTGCATAGAGTCTCCTTTAAACATGCGAGGTCTTTATAAGTAATTACAATCCTAGCCAGCACACTTAGAGCAAAAGTAAAAACTTCTTCGAAAAAATAAAAATAAAAATCATCAGCGATACTAAACATTATAAACCGGTGGGCAAAAATCGGCGCTTAAGTGAATCAATCGTTGTAGTTTCGCCAAATACCAAGAATGTCGCGAACTAGAGCGCTCTCCGGAGCTATTCAACATCGATACGTTAGGATTCAACCTCAAACATTGCCTCATATTCAAGCATAGTATCGGGGTAGTAACAATGTCTTGCAATGCAATTCAACAGATGCATGAACTCAAATCCTTTTTGTGAGCCTGGGTCTTCGCGGCTTCAATGAGTCCTTGCACGAGTCCCACGCTTCTCCTGGTACCAGAACGATCATATAAATAAACGGTACATGCCAAGAGGCTATATAGGCTATAATCCTGGCTATTAAAGCTTCTCTTTTTCCCCTAGTTTCTATTCTATGGCTATGACCTATAGATTAAAGTTGTCTTTGATTTCACTCACGGGGGCGAACTCTTTGCTTGATCTTGCCCACGAATCTAGAATCAAACATTAATGAATGGTAAGTGGAACAGCAGCTCAATGTACGCTCGGAATAAGACAATGTCTAGGACAATTAATACGATGTACCTATAGTTATAGACAACCTTAAGAGATCATGGATCTATTGTAGTGAATCCACCTAGCAAGGGCACACCAGACGATCTCCAAAAGCCTCCAATATGTCTGGGCTTCACTTAGAAGCTTCTCTTTTCGTTTTTGGTTCCCAAAGATTGAGAAGCTACTGTATCTTCATGCAAGGAGTTATGTGGAGGTCGGAATATTGCTCGACGACCACATTTTACAAGGACGACCAAGTGGATCGCGGGAGCCAAATCTATCTTATCGTTGATTGCGCGAACATCGGATCATTGCATCTTGCATAGGTTGATGTAATTGCTCGATATTACGTACTCTTCATATAGGTCCGACACAAATAAATTGACGGGTAGTCGCCTATCAAGCTTCTACACCATAAACTCCCCCGTGAGAGTCAGTACATATGCAATCAAATAAGTTGTAAACATACACAGCTACCACAATCTACTAAATCCTGTTTAGTCGTTTCTTGGTAAATGAGTCTCCAAGTAGTTTCATTAAATTTGGATTTCACGAAGTTTGATGTTGCTATCCGGCAGCATAATTTGCTTGGAGTTGTTATCCATTTCCAAACCAAAAGAGCAGGTAAGACTGCATATTCATCTTCGGTCAATTCAATATGAAACATTTAACTTTAAAATTCACTTGTCGGCAACTTGGCATGACTGCTCTTGAGGGTCTAGGCCAAGACAAGGGCCAAAACTGAACAACCCTCGACAATGAAACAACAGTTTAGGATGCGTTTGGTAACTTTTTTGTTTCCGAAAAAAAATTTTGCTCAGAAATAATCTTTTTTCATTTTGTTCCCTGAAACAATCTGTGAGCATTTGAAAGCGTTGGGTAACGGCTCAAAATTTCTATTCCTGGAATAAAAAAAGAACAGAAATGCATTTAGTAACTGCACAAAAATTTTTTTTATTAATAATATTTAAATTTTTTAATACTTCTTTCTCTTTTTTTTCTTTTCTTTTTTTCTTCTTCTCCTTCCTTCGCCCATGGCCTGCGAGGGCAGCCCTCGTCGGCTCAGGCGAGGGCTGGAAAAGGCCGGAGAGGGCTACTGTTACCCAAGCTGCGAGGGTCCAGCCCTCGCTGGCCCACTGGCTACAAACCAGAAAAGAAGATGAACCGGCCAGGAAAGAAGAAAAAAAAAATTATCTTCTATTTCTAATTCCTGTTTCCAGAATCAAAAATCAACCAAAACTGATTTTAAGAATAAATTTGTGCTCGGAATAAAAAATTTACCAAACGAATTTCTGTTCTTTTTTTATTTTCGATAATAAAATAATGAAATCAAGCACTATTTGATCGGTTACTAAACAGGCCCTCAGTGCCTTTTTTCTTCTTGTTTCGAGGCGATTGACCCTCCCAAATCCAAAACATTTCATCTTTTCTCACTCGACAAAATGCTAAAGGACAAGGGCATGATTAGCATCTTCTTTGACCATTCCACCAGCTTCTCTCTCTCTCTTCTCCCCTTTTCTCTCCACTTTTCTTCTCCGACTCTCCCAAATTCAAAGAAGACCTTCATCGGTCGAAATCATGAAACAGTACCTCGCAATGTCAAGGGCCGTAATCATTTCAATAGAAAAAAACACACAGCACGGGAACGCCACGGTAACCGAAAGCGACTCTACGTACCGACTTGACTCGACTCATAGCTCTCTCATTTTTTAACCTTTCTGCATGGCTAGGGTTAGCAGCAGCAGGCAATACAACAAACGCAAAGCACGCTATGATAGTCTTTATAGGGGTAGTTGGTCGTTAAAGGGGTGAAACAGTCCGGCCTAGATTCACGTGAACCGGCGACTATCACGGCGTCGTGGACTTCCCTGGGAAAAGGGGTTGTGGACTTCAATCGAAAGAACATTTAGAGAACAGAATTCCGGGTCTTTCGAGTGAATTAAAGCTGATTTCATATTCTTATCATCGTGCTCTCCGGTCTCTGGATTTGGCTCTTTCTCCACTCCACGGCCCCTCCCTCCTAGCATGTGATGCAATCACTTCCTTTTCACTCTAGTGGTAGGATAACATGATTATATGCGTGAAATTACAAGCAAAGATCCTTTTTCTTCTTCTTCTTTTTTGTTTCTTTTTCGGTATTGCGGGAAACGAGATATGAGGGCAAAGTAAATCTCCATCGACCCGAAGGCCACATCCACACAATGGGTGGAGCCTCACTCAATGCGTTCTTGGGGATTAATCGAACCAAAGGATTTAGATATTTTCTGTTGTAAAAAAGAAGATATCGACCGATGTATTGTGAAGTTTCTATTTACTCGATTGCCTAAGCAACCTAAAATCAATATGCTTGTGCCAATTGATTACCAGCGCATGCATAAAGATAATTTTTCGACAACATGCACTTAGTAAGTTTGATGCAGAAAAGAATCTAAATTAGAAATTAAGCTAGATTACCGTGATTTACACTAATGATGAAGGTTATAAGAGCTAATTTTTTTGACATAGTAATGGTTGTCATGTGATTGGACACAAGTGTGTCACACGGGCTGAACTTGTTCGAGGGATTGGTGGCTTTCAACACAAACATCAATCCAACAAAGACTAGGAGTCTAATTACTACTTAAAAGGGGGTTAGGTATACAAACTTAACTTGATTTCTGGGATGATGACTTGAATCAAGCAATATTTAAATCATCTCTGTTTGTCTTGGAATATGATCTCTTTCCATTCCCATGATCTCAGTATGTCCTTGCATAAGGACGATCTTTTCTCCTTTAAAAAAGAAGCATGATGATGGGAAGAAAAGCTTGCTTACTGTTTGGTTCAAAGCCATTCTAACCGAAGCTTTTTAATCATTTCTCAAACGTAATTTATGTTCAGGTTCAACTAGTGAACTGCACTATTAGTGACATAAAGTTGTATATAGTTTTCATTTAATCACTTTGCGAGCGACTTTCGACATGATCCTCAATTATCTTTTGTAATTTACTTTCAATGATACTATACTTATTCTTCTTTTAACCTCGTTTTTTTGTAAAGGAGAAAAAGAAAAATAGTATGCTTGTATCGTCTTTGCCATTGTCAAATCGGGTTAGCTCAAGTATGGCTGTTTACACAATCTATCTCTAACTTGATATCCGATAATCCGGCAATTTGTCTGTTAGGTAAAGGAACTTGCATCATAATTGCACTCGATAAGATACTTCTTGCACGTAATTCATTAAATTAAGTCGATCGCATATACTAAGAAATAAGGGATGAGGATCATCTACCCTCGTTGATTTCCCCCATCATCTTTCCCATTCACCAAATTCCAACACATATCATTTCAATATGACACAACAAGTTCAAGAATGAGTTGATTTCTCTCCTGCGCTTTTATCTCTTAATCCTCAGTTGTCCGCCGTCGCCCCTGCTGCTGTCGTGCCTCAGACCACACATGGCCTCCACCA